TACACAATCTTAACTAGAACTTTATACTCTTGTGTTTCTTATTAAGCTTTCAAAATGCACATTGTTTTGTACATAAAGAATGTTGAATTACAACATTTTTCATATGTCAGGTTACATAAACCATATTAAGGTTAGTTTTGCCTGTTTCTGTTTGCTTTTTTTAACATGCCTGTTAGAAAGTTTGAGAATGCCTGCATGGCTCCATGGTCGATCTGCTGCACGGCGTTGGTGTGCACAGCCCGGGAGTGGCCATCACTCCAGGGAGCCCGGGTTCCCTTCCTGGAGAGCCTTGTTTAGAAACCAGGACTTGGATGCCGCCGAGGCCCTCTCGGCAGATGGAGCTGGGAGGTGCGTGTGCGTGTGGGTGCAGCACAGACGCGCACACCGCCTACGGGAGAGGGTCTTTGACACCTGAGCTTACATGGACCAAAAGCCATGTTTTTACAGTGAGACCTCCAAACCCACACGACACCACGGGGTCTGCTTCGCTTCTCTCCGTTTCAGTTCTGTGACTGCCGTGAGAAGCCGACTCCTGTTATCCGTCACGTGTTTATCGGATTGATGCCCTGGCTAGCTGGGCTCTGACACTCCCTGGGGTGCTATTCCTTCCTGCGCAGACCCCACAGCCCCCACCAGCCGGTGCCGCCTCTTCCCAGACCTCCTGGCGGCCGTGGACGGAGTGGCGCTGGGTTTTCCCTGTGCCACCAGCGCAGTGCGATGCCTGTTGACCAGCTGACTTGCTCCGTCACCTGTTGTTCGGGCTTATGAACAATTTTAAATGTTGCTTCCTGGTGCAAGGTTTTGTTTCAACAGCACCGCCTTTAAGGGGCCACGAGGACCCTGAGAAGTCCTTTCATTGTACACGTGTGCACTTTCTTGTTTGCAGGTTAGTCTTAAATTCCAGGGAGCAGCGTGCGAGGGCCTCTGTGTCGTTTGCCCACGGAGAGCTCCTCACCTTGTGGCCTTCAGGGTGCCCCATGCTGAGCCCTGGTGGCGGCCTCCGCCTCACCTGTGCCTCAGTGGAAAACTGGGACCACGTGCTGGTGCTGAGGTGGTGCTCTCTTCCAGGTGGGCTACCTGAAGAGGAGCGGGGACGGCAGCCTGCTGTACAGCGTGGTCAACACGGCTGAGCCGGACGCCGACGGTGGGTGCCTGCGCAGGGCCGGCTCCCTGCCACCTGCACGCCATCCCGTGACCTGTGTTCATGCTCAGGGATGCAGGGGACCTCTTGCGTGTTTAGATACCGTGCCGTGGGCCCAGGGGCAGCATGGGAAGCTGTCCGGCCTCTGTCCCTGTGCCCTCCCATGCGACACAGTGCCGACCCGAGCGAGTCATGGACGGTGGTCCTGCGAGGTTCCCCGGGGAGCAGCAAGACTCGGGCGGCACCCCTGGAGAGCACTGGGAGGTCCTTAAGGCTGAACGTGGCTAAGATCATGAAGGGCTTACGGCCCAAGTTCAGTCTTCACCAAAAACCAGAGTGCTGACACTTCTGTTCCTTGGACTTGGACGTGGTGCTAGAAGAAGAGGTCCGTGTGATAGTCACATCGAGGAAGATGTTGAAGGGGGCATGAGTACGGGTCCACCCAACCCGATGTGGGCGTTTCCATGGTCTTGAAGAAGTGTTTTTACACTTTTCTGTCTCCTTTGGCGTAGTTCAGAGGCCTGTCCTTTGAAGGAAAGTGCGTCTCACATGGATTTGAAATGCACGTGTGGACACTGCGAGGACCGGGAAGCCCCTCGAGGGTGGCCTTTGGATGGTCCCACTTTTCCTTGGTCTGGTCCACACTAACGTGGGGCAGCCTCATGTGCCCGAAAGCGCCCCAGCGTGTGCAGAATATAAACTGTGGCGATTTCTTCCATCTGTAGCTCATTTTCCTGAAGAGAATAGATGGGTTGCTTAGTACTTAGCTCGGAAGAGAGCTGGCTTGAGGTTCCGATTAGGAATTGAGGAGTTTGGTCGCGTGAGTGGTGTGTGAGTGACGAATTTCCGCAGCGCGAACATGCGGTCAGGGCGAGGACACGGCGCGGGCTCCACGCTGTGCTGTGGACGTGGAGGGCGAGATGCTTCTGGAGGTGCTGGGTGAGCAACTGGAAATGCTGAAGTATGGCTGGTGTGGTGGCCAGTGTGAAATTTTTCCTGACGTTGGCTTTGGGGTAATCGTGAAGTTGAGATACTGTTGGTTTTGAGAGTGGTAGTTGGCTTTTGCAAATTCATTTTCAGTGGTCGTTGTAGAGTCCCTGCCTGTGCCCCCACCCCCTGCCTAGTGGATCTGCCGTGGTGCAGAGAAAGTGCTTACGGCTCAGTCTCCCATGTCCCTTATTGCAGAAGAGGAGACCCACCCCGTGGACCTGAGCTCGCTGTCCAGTAAGCTGCTGCCCGGCTTCACCACGCTGGGCTTCAAAGACGAGAGAAGAAACAAAGGTAAACATGCGGCTCCGGCCACATTGCCGCAGCAGCTCGAGGAGGGCAGGGACTCAGTGGAGCGGCGCCCACTCCTCCTTTAGTGTTTTCCTCCTGCGCCTTTATTACTGTGTCTGGGTTCATGTTATAGCACTAATAAAATTAGGGTCAGTTAAAGTGACAGGCATAAAAGTTATATTGGGTTGGTGTCTTTGTTTTAAAAATGTCCGGTGAGCACCGTGGTTCACATGACCGGGGTTTAGCCTTCGTTGGTGTTCCGCATCCTTGCACTTTCTCTCCCCACTGCATTTGCAGGAACGGCCTCTGGGGGTCAGCACCTGTGACCCCTGGGCCTGGCTCTGTCCCCGTCAGGTCCCCTCCTCCCGTCTCTGTCGTTGCGTCTGTCTGCATTGCTGCGGAGCTCCCGACGCCCAGGCTCCGTCTCTGCCTTGCCAGGGTGCTCTCAGCAGGGGCAGGGTGGGTCCCCCAACCCAGACGGCTGCATAGACCCTGCTCCTGCCCTCCCCGTCTCACCACCACCCACACCATCTCCCGCCAACAGGACAGCTCGCCGCGCCCTCCAAACCATGGCCATGGATCAAGGGCTTCCTTCTTTCTGGAGTGTTCTTTTCTCCTGCTCTGGGTGCTAAAATTCTCCCTGCACCGGGGCCTTCTGTGAAGTGAAGCCCCCATTGGGAGGTCGGTCCCCTCACCTGCACCAGCCCCACCCCCGCCCCCCCATCGCTGCCGTGGGTCTCTTTCTCTTGGCTTCGGGGGCATCGCTTGTCCTCTCCCTCTGACGCAGTCCCCCAGTCCTCAGCTGCAGGGTTCTGTGCACAGGGACACGTGGCAGTGTCTGGAGACGTTCTGGTTGTCACACAGGGATGGGTGCTGGCGTCCAGCGGGAGAGGCCAGGGGTGCCGCCAGCCACCTGCGGGACACAACAGGGAGGTCCTGGCCGTGCGCGGCTCGAGAAGCCCCACGCTGACGCGGGCAGTCGGGCTCCGTTTGTGTCCCCTCGACAAGTGCCAGCCGCGTGCAGTCTGGTCCTGGCAGTGCCTGTGGGTTGGCATCCCATGAGCTGGTGGGCCGGTGCCCTCTGCCCGCGTCGCTGACCCAGGCGCCATGGAGCTCTCGCGCCCGCAGAGGCACCGCTGGGGCCAGTGATGCATTTGGCTAGTCACACACACAAAGCTGACGGTGCTCGGGAGCAGGGAGGTCAGAGAGGAAGCGGGAGTGACCAGGATGGCGGCCAGCACCGTCGCTCCGCCCTCGGCACGGTGGGGAGGGGCCTGCGCTCAGCGTCCTTCTGGTGAGCCTGACGTCCTTCCTGTCCCTGTTCCCAGTCACGTTTCTCTCCAGCGCCAGCACCGCACTTTCGACGCAGAACAACTCAGTGTTTGGCGACTTGAAGTCGGATGAGACGGAGCTGCTGTATTCGGCCTACGGGGACGAGACGGGCGTGCAGTGTGCGCTGAGGTGAGCGCTGGCCGCGTGCAGGAGCCCTCGCCTGTAGTGCGGCGCCAGCTGCGTCCCGGGGAGGGATTTGGGCACTGCCTGTGGCAGCGGGTCCAGGCGGCAGCAAAATCTGTGTCCAGCAACCCGCTCTTCTCCGCCACAGCCGGTCTTGACGCTCAGTCCCAGGTTCGAGGAGGCGACAGTCTGGGCGTCGCTCATGAAGGGAGTGTTCAGTCAGCCATGCATGTTCAGTGGAGTTTTGCTTCGTGCCTGTGCTGGCACGTGGTTCTTAGCGGCTGCATCACTTTCCTCGGGCCCCCGTAACAAGGCGTCACACACAGGACACCTCAGAGACAGAAGCTTACTTTCCCACGGTCCTGGAGCCTGGAAGTCCGAGCTCAGGCTGGGGGCAGGGCTGGTCTGTCCTGAGGCCTGTCTGCTTGGCGTGTAGACGCCGTCTCCTCCCTGCGTCCCCACGTGGCGATCCTCTGTGTGTCTGTGTCCTCGTCTCCTCTTGTAAGGACACCAGTCAGATGGGGTCAGGGCCCACCCTCATGACCTGAGCTTACCCAGCTCCAAGTTCAGTCACGTCCTGGTGTGCTGGGTCCGGACTTCAAGTTGTGAGCTTTTTAGGGAGACACAGCTCAGCCCTGAACAGGAGCTAAAATAGAATGTTAAAATCACAAATGTAGTACTGCATTTCCCTAGAACTTTTTTTGTGTGTATTTTCTAGTTTTCTGTGGCAAAATAAAGTGGGTCGCACTTGTAGAATTTTAGTAATTTTTTATGGGAGAAGTAATTTTGCTAGCCCTCAAGAAATGGAATCTTTGCATATCAGATCTTCGCTTTATTTTTAAATGAACGCAGAATTTATTTGCAGAATGAACAAGAACTCAGAAGTCTCGTAGAAGAGGGTTGTGTCATGACTCACAGGTTACAGGGCTAGTTACCACACCCCCCCACGGAGCCTCCCCCAGGCTGGGCCCGAAGGCCTCAGTTCCCTTCCTGGTACCGCGTGCAGCTCTCGGCTCTGCAGGTCACCTGTTCAGGTGGTGCAGTCGGCACCAGACTGCTCGCACCCACCTGCCTGCCCCACGCAGCTGCCCCAGAGCGCACTGTCCCACGCTGCTGCACGGCCAAGATCGCAGCGATCGTGCCTGCCTCTGGCTGCAGAGGACAGCACACAAAAGTACCACACGCTCTGTCCTGGGGCACTTGCCACACACCAGGGTCAGTGAGGTCTTCATGGCCAGGCACGGTCACAGGCTGCGGCTCTTTCCCATGAAGGCACTTGTTCCTGTCACTGCCCCTGTCATCGAGGCCCAGCTACCGGACAGCCGCCTCCGTGGAGGTCTGAAGTCCGGGGAGCCCTTCTGAGGCACTGGCTTGGTGCTTTGATTCTAGGACTGTGGGTTTTCGTTTCCTGCTTACTTTTAGGATTTTGTTCATTTTATTTTTCTGTTAGTGACTCACATGGCCCAGACCAAGCTGCTAGTGAAGGGTGTGCAGTGGGAGTTTCACCCCTGTGCTCCGCGCACTGCACGTGGCCGCTCACCACTGCAGCCCCGCGCGGCCCACCGTGCTCCTCAGCCGGAGCTAGCAGGCAGCTGTGAACGTCCTGCTTTGACTCAAGTCCGCATGGCGTCTGTTGTGTTTCTGTGTGTCGCGGTGTGTGCGTTGTGTCACGGTGTGAGTGCGTTCACTGCTCTCGCCCTGGCCTTTTTTTTTTTTTTTTAATTATTTTTCCCGGAAATCTTTTTAACCTTTCGGGGTCATGGACCACTTTGAAAATATAGCGAGAATTGTCAGTTCACAGCCCCCAAACACCACATCCGGAAGAGGCACAGAGGAGCATCTGGGGAGGCTCGCTGACTTAGGCCTCTGCGTCTTGGCACCCAGGACGTCATGCTCAGCGTGTCCTGTCCTGTGGTCCCCTCTAGCCTGCAGGAGTTTGTGAAAGACGCCGGGAGCTACAGCAAGAAAATGGTGGACGACCTCTTGGACCAGATCACGGGCGGAGACCACTCGAGGGTGCTCCTCCAGCTGAAGCAGGTGGGCTGTGCCTCGCGGCGCCCGCCCTCGCGGCGCTCCTTGTAGAAAGTGTGCGTCCAGGCCGGGCTTCAGGGAGGAACATGCTGCTTTAGGTGCTCTCCCGCCGGCTCCCCTCACGGGCTTTTCAGTTCTGCGTTAGCGCGGTGGTTTCAGGAGACTCACGCGCCCGCCATGCTGGGGCGCCTCCTGACTTTCTGCGTGCCCAGATTTCTTTATCCTGAAGAACTTTCTTTAATACTTTGCACACTGCAGCCTGGCTGACGGTGAACTCGCTCGGTATGAAGTCTGAAAGTCTTCATTTTGCTTTCAGTTTTGAGATTAATTTTCCCTGGGTGTAGCGTTTCGGATCGACTTTGTTTCCTCTCCACTGTGAAAGAGTCTGGCTCGCGCTGTTTCTGAAGAGGAGTCTATAGTCGTTTTATCTGTTTTCCATTTGTGACGTCCCTTTCTTGATCAAGTCTAGAGTGGCCGACTGCAGCCCGCAACCAGGTCTGATGTGCAGCCGGGTTTTGCACAGCCCGCGAGCTGCAACCATTCATATTTGTCAAGGTTGTTGCAAAAGGAGGGCGGCGAGGCGTGCGCCCCAGCCAGCGGCCCCTGGAGCCTCCCTGCGCTCGCGGCCTCTGAGTGACGGCCTTCTGCCTTGTGCCTTGGCTGTTTTTTTTGTGTTCATTCTGCCTGTCTGTTGAGTTTCTTGAAAACTGTAAAACTATTGGCTTATGGTTTTCACCAAATTTGGAAGATTTTCAGCCATTTTTCGCCATTGCCTCTCCCCTTCCTTTCTAGGACTTTGGCACATCAGCCATCGGACACGATCGCAGGCGTCACCAACGCCTTGTCTGTCTTTTGGTTCACATGGTGGTTGTTGCCACGGCGTCACGCCCACTGAACTGTTCTCACGCCGTCTCCAGACCTAGTGCAGATCCCAGAGAGGAAGATTTCATCTCTAGGGTTCCATCCGGTTCTTCTGTGCATCTTTGTTGTGTGTTTCCCTTTAAACCCCTGAGCCGCTCGTGCTGTTCATCACGGCCGCTTTCGGAGCGCTGCGCACTCGTTCTGCCGCTGCCACTGCTGGCTCTGTGTCCGCCGCGGACCGTCCTGGTCGCAGCCCTCAGGTGCTGCCTGCTTGGCCGACGCAGGGCATGGCGGACGTTCCTCGCCAGGAGTCTGGACCCACAGCCACGAGCCTCGTGTGGCCACCGGGAAGTTGGGATGTGGCTGGTCCGAATTTAGATCTGGCTTAAGTGTGAACTACAAAGCAGAACTTTAAAGATTAAATGAAAAAATATAAGATTCTGTTACCAGTAACTACTTGGTATGGGCTGCGTGCTGGAATAAAATGCTGTCACTGTGCTGCCGTAGCGCAGTGTGCTGCAGTTAGTGCACGTTAGCAGTAGTTTTGATGTGGCCGCTAGGAAGTTTAGAATTAGGAGTGTGTTTGTGTTTCTGTGGGACAAGGCTGGTCTGGATTTTGTTGTCTTGTAAAGGACGTTGACGTTTGTGACGGGAGAGAGTGAAGTTACTTAGGGGTCCCCTGACCCCGTCAGGCTTGCTGTTGAGCTTCGTTGGTGGGGTCTAGAGCAGCCTGTATTCTAGGGCTACACCGAGTGGCCTTCTGGGGCCTCTTCGATGGCCGGGCTTCCCAGTGAGGCCTCTCTCTGGCTGGCGGAGCGTAGGCGGGTCCCTGCCTGCCTGAGCCCTGGGAATGTTTGGGCCGTGGTTCCCGTTGGTGCTTCCTTGGCCTTGCAGTTTCATCTGTGCGAGAGCAGTAAGTGTGGAGCCAGGCTGGGGGCCCCTCGAACATTCCTGGCACCCCTCGTCTGAGCAGCGCCCTCCTCTCCAGAACCCGGCCTGGCCTGTGCTCTCTGGCTCTTGGCACGGCGTCTGAAGCCGGCGTTTCCACTCAGTGTCGTTGCTGAGGGAGGGAAAGCCCCGGAATGAGGTTGCTCTGTCAGCTGCTCTGAGTTCCGGTTTTGTCCCTTTCGTGAAGGTGAACTTGGGTTACAGAGTAAAGTAATGTCAGACGCGCCCCAGCACCAGATGACCCTCAGCACTAAACATTAGAGAGAGCTCCCGTGAGGAACTAGGCATGGAAAAAACGGCAGCGTTTGCTTTTCTCATTACAAGTTGGTGAAAACCACAAGGAGCTCTCAGAAACACTTGGGACAAAGATCACACGTGAAAGAGTCACTCTCAGTGGCTGCTGGCAAGGCACATACAGAACACGGGGGCGTGTTTAAGTTCGTGCTCCTGCAGAGCACGGGATGGCAAGGCCGAGGAGAGGGCGCGCGGCCCCGCAGCCCGGCCCACTGCAGCAGGCGGGGCCGGGAGGTGTGCGGCACCTTTGTTCCCGTGCGCCCGCTTCCTTCAGGACTCGAGCCTGGTCCTGTTCCAGGTGAAACTGCCAGGCCGGCTTCTTTCCCGAGCTGCCCCCAGGATCCGGTAGGTTTTAAACCACCCCAGGCTGCGGGGCCAGGGCGGGTGTCCACGCTCCCTTCTGCTGTCTTCTGCCCACGGGGCGCCCTCCCAGCACGCAGCCCTGGGGTCTCTCTGGCGCTGAGCGAGCGGCCGGCCGGGGTCGGTCCGCTGCCAGCTCGGTGCGTGAAGACAGCGCGCACCCGAGGGGCAGGACTCCGGGGTAGTGAATGACGTCAGCGCGTCGCCCTTTCGTATACGATCATTTTGGAAAAGCTGGTTTCTGGCCTGTTTCACTTTGCAGAGGAGAAATGTTCCCGCGAAACCTCCGGACGAATCGAAGGTGGGTTTTCCAGCGCGTAAGTACGGTGCTAGGGTTCTTACAGGCTGAGCGCAGTTGTATTCGGCCTTTGAAGCGGGTGGGCAGGAAGGGCTTCAGGTGTCGCTTTATTTAGAAACTGATGCAATTTCTGAAGAATAAGGTGGCTTGAGGTGAGGGTGTAAAGCCACGGGACATTCTTGCAAATCCAGAAACAGGGTTTGTGCAACAGCTGGCTCTGCTGTCCTCACGGCACCCTGCAGGGGCGGGGCGGGCGGGGGGCCCACTCGGGACCTCCTTGTTGAGTAGCAGGCGTTGTCTCTGGAGTGGCGGGTTCCGGGGGCGAGGCACTATTGGCAGGTATGGGGTTTGGTCCAGGGTCCCTGGGAGCATTGAGAGACCCCTTAGCATCCATGTGCCGGGGGAAGCTGGGCTGCAGGAGCTGACCAGAGAGCCCTGGGGACTGCTGTAGACTGGCCTCAGGACACCCCTTCTGGGAGGAGGACCCTCTGTGTTGGTTTGGGACCCCCCACGCACTGCTCCGTGGAGTCCCTGAAAGCAGTCATGGGCCCTGTAAGTTCTGCGCGTCTTCCTTTGCATAGCGCTGCTCACTGATGCCCCAGTGCCTAGTGGAGTCCCCGGACAGTCAGCAAAGGCCCGTTGGTTTCTGCTATTGGGCAGAAACCTCGTAAGCTCTGACTGGTGGTGCTTCGGGTTGCAGATCCTGCCGGCGGCTGGTTCCCACTCAGGAGGGTGGGCCCGGGCATAGCAAACGATGGCATCCTTTCAGCAGCTGGCGTTAAGTGACATCTCAGCTTCCGCGTCACGTTCATCTGCTCTTCACTACAGCTCTGTCTTTCCGTCTTTGTCTCGCCTCGCACAGGCTGGGGACGCCCTGGGGGACGGCAGTGGCTCTGTTCTGGATTTCGTGTCGGTGAAGCCGTATCCTGACGTGTCTCTGGACATCTCCCTGCTCAGCTCTCTGGGTGAGTGGCAGCAGGGCCTCTGCCTGCAGGACGTGCTGCGGTGAGCAGTGGGTGTTTGGCCTGCCCCTCCCTGCCTGGCGAGTTAGGGTTGCAAGGAGACGCCTCTGCCCTGGTGTTTGGTCTTTGTCGTGGTTCCTGGCCCGTAGCTCCTAAAACCCTTGGAACCTCCGAGGTGTAAGCGTCTTTTTGTTTGCCAGTGAGATGGGCTGGCGACACCAGGGAGCCGGGCCTGGTAACAGCGCCTCCACGAAAGCCAGAAGGATGGGGGACGTCCTTCGTGTTAAATTGCTAAGTAAGCCACTCTGGCACATTCCTCAAAGCAGAGGAGGGCGTCATGGCAACCCCATTTAGAACCAGGCTTGCGATTGGCCTCTGACGTAGGGGCAGTCTTGTGCCCTCCCCTGTGGGATCCGATCTGACGTCACCCACCGCGCAGGCGCGTCAGAACCGAGCTAGAGGACACCCAGCCGGCGCCTGTCGCAGAGCTGCCTGGCGGGGGTCGGAGTGCCGTGCGGCGAGAGTTTGTGTTCAGAGCCCCCTTGGTAAGACGCTCTCAAACCGCAGTGGGGTTTCTGGGAAGGTGCAGTTGCTCTTCACACAAGACCTGAGTGTCGGGACGAGGAGTGCCGTGGCAGAAAGGAAGTTTCCATACGACAGACGTCTTCGTAAGAGTGGCACGCTCATTCGGTGCTCCTGCCATGGGTGGAGAAAGATTTCTCACACTGAGATTAGGATAAGTCAAAGTTTAAAAAAAAGTTTATTTTCTTAGAAGGGGAGAGAGAGAGAGAAGGGAAAGAGAGGGGAGACGGTGTGGCACCCAACGGAGAAAGGAGGTGCCCACGCAGAGGCCGCGCGGCTCGCGCCCTTACGGGAACGGAGAGAGGCGAGCAGACGGTTGTCGGGTGGTGGCAGAGGCGGCTGTGGAGTGGTCAGCAGGGCCCAGCGTGCGAGTGCCGCTTCCGCTTCTCTCTTCCCGTGGAGACAGGCTCGTCGCCGGGCACCTGATCTTGTCTGAGATTTTGCACGTGAGATACAGTTTTGGCAGGACCCGAGGCCTGAAGCTCATACCCCTTGCTCAGGCGCTCTTCACGGCTGCAAAAGCAAATTCTCAAAAGCAGTTTGGTCTGGTGAATATAAACAGAGAGAGATTCATGCTTCCTTTCTGCTCAGGTCTTTTCAGATAGAATGAAAACATATAGGGATCATCGAAGTTTGTTCAAGGAGCCGGTTGCAAGATTGTCTGGCTTGGCTGTAAAGCAGTGACCTCTGTCGCTGGCACCTGGCTGCCGGGCGTGGACGTTCCCAGTCGGCCCGGGCTGGCCAGTTGGCTGTGGGGTGAGGGCCCACTGTCCTCGCCCACCCTGTGCAGAACCTCCCAGATGGTTCCAGACCGGGTTCACCTGCGCCCGCCTCTCGACTGCAGTCTGGGCCTTGACGGTCGGTGGAACCCGTGGGTTCTGCTGGCTCTTGGGGGATGCGCTGCTTGTCTCTGCCGGTTCTGCTCCCGTGCACGTGCCCAGCAGGACATGCCCTCCTGGTTAGCCGACCCCTCCACTGTCGGGACGGGCCCTCCTGGTTAGCCAACCCTCCACCGTCGGGACGGGCCCTCCTGGTTAGCCGACCCCTCCACCGTCGGGACGGGCCCTCCTGGTTAGCCGACCCCTCCACCGTCGGGACATGCCCGGGGTTTTACCGGGGGCTGGTCACTGCCCAGCACATAGCACATTCCAGGCTTCTGGGAGAAAGTGGGTTTCTGTGCGAAGCATCTCGCTGTGTGGCTCTGTGCTGCCAGCACCTTACCAGCTGCAGGGGCCCTGCCGGAGCCCGAGGCCTGGACGGCAGCCCCAGCCCGGCCTTCCTGAGAACAGCGGCCCTGGGCTTCCACGGTAGCACTTGCTACACACCAGCGGTTTTTCTTGGCACTTGGAAGATTTTTTCCTTACTGCTGCTTTTCAGAGGTTTAGTTACGATGTGCTTTGGTTTGCCTTTCTTTCTTTTTTTTTTGAGACAGCTCTGTCACACAGCCTGGAGTGCAGTGGTGTCATCATAGCTCACAGCAGCCTCAAACTCCCGGGCTGAAGCGATCCTCCTGCCTCAGCCTCCCGAGTAGCTGAGACTACAGGTGCCACCACGCCTGGCTGATTTTTCTATTTTGGGTAGAGACGGGGGTCTCGCTCTTGCTCAGGCTGTTCTTGAACTCCTGGCCTAAAGCAATCCTCCCACCTCAGCTGCCAGCTGTCCAGAGTGCTGGGATTATAGGTGTGAGCCACCGCACCCGGCCCTGCTTTTCTTTAGAGCTGCTATTCTGGGTTTTCTTCCGCTTCTTGAACCTAACGTTTATAGCTTTTATCAAGTAAGGACATCTGGGGCTGTACTTTGCTCAGCAGTCACCAGCCCACCCTTCTCCTGGGACTCTTGAGTCCACATGGGGCCCAGGTCCCTGTCCCCACCCTTCCTCCTCTCTGCGTGCGTCCTGAAGGGCACCTCTCCCCTCCGCCGCGGCGGGTCTGCTCGGGGCTTTCACCCTCCTTATCTCCGGAAGCTCAGTTTGGCTTTTCCAATGTCTCGTATTTCTCACTGAATGGCGGTGTTTCCTCCGCCCTTTTGGAACACGTGGAGCACGTTTCCAGTCTGCTCATTCCCTCGTCTTGTTATTTCTTCTGGTTTGGGACCACGTTTTCTCGCCACTTCGCATGCCTGGTAGTTGTTACCGGACAGAGTTCATGCCATCGGCTGTTAGATTTGGCTACACATCTGTGAATCACGGTGGCCTTTGCTCTGACCAGTGGACTCTTTCCCCGCATGGACCATGGACGGGGGGTCCAGAACTGCACCCGGTGCCGGGCGGAGGAGGCGCTGTTAGGCCACACCTCTCCGAGGCCCCTCATGAAGAGGTTTCTCCAGCCAAGAGGAAGCTGCCCTCTCCTCAGCTTAGCAGGACCTGGAGGGAGTCCAGGCTCCCCACGCGCCTTGGGTGCCGTATTGGACCTCGCTGGGCCTCGGTTTCTCTGTAAAGTGGGACTGAGGTTTATGTTGAGGGTGATCTGACAGGGAGTAGAGCACAGCCCTCACTGCGGACACGGCAGCCGCGACTGTCCTCACTGCGCCGTGTCCATTCAACGGCTGCGGGAACCGAGTGCCCTCTGTGTGCCAGGCGTGATGCCAGGCCCTGGGGAGCGGCAGAGGCACCGTCCGCAGTGCTGTCCCCCACCCCCCGTGGAGCCGCAGTCTTAGCAGAGAGCACAGAGCACCGTCCAGGCCCCTCTGAGGGACGGCAGCCTGGACTCAGCAGGGCTTCCTGGGGGACGGCAGCCGAGCCGCGGCCAGAGCTGCGGAGGAGCTGGCGGAGATGAGGGAGACGGGGGTCTTGGGGTAGAAGGTGCCAGGCAGAAAGGGGCTGGGTGCCGGGACACAGGATACCGCACGTGTGTGAGCTCCCGGCACCTCTGGCATCGGGTCTAGCGTGGTCCGGGGGCCATCTTTTCCAGCTCTCGGCTGGGCCCTGCTGGGTCCCCTGCCTGGCTGTGGTCTGGAACCTGCCCAAGTGTTGAGCTGTGGTCCCGGCACCTGCAGGCCTCGCTGCGCTCTGTCCGCCATCCGGCTTGCTCCCGCCGAGGACGGAGGCCCACGCCAGTCCCTTCGTTCGCCAGCCACAGTTCTCCACACGTGCGCGGGGCGGCCTGGATTTGGTGTGGGGCCGGGTCTCTCGTCCAGGGCTTTGCATCAGTGAGGGACACCGCCTTCCCCTCTGCGCACCGCATGACGCACTGCTGCCCTCCACACTGAGCGCCCTGCCTGCTGAGAGCTCGCCCAGCCTCACTCGCGGCGGCTGCTGTCCCGAGCGAGAGGAGACCCGGGCGTAGGGCTGTCCTGTGCGCATGGCCTCTGCGCGGGCCCTCAGAGGGGGCGGGGCTGCCGCAGTCCCTGCAGCGTCCCGTCTCCGTGTCCGCAGGGAAGGTGAAGAAGGAGCTGGACCACGACGACAGCCACCTGACCTTGGATGAGACGACCAAGCTCCTGCAGGACCTGCACGAGGCGCAGGCGGAGCGAGGCGGCTCCCGGCCGTCCTCCAACCTCAGCTCCCTGTCCAACGCCTCCGAGAGGGACCAGCACCACCTAGGTAAGGCGGGCCCCGCCGTGCCAGGCCCAGAGACCCCCCCAGGACAGGAGGTCTGATGCACAGACGTGCAGTAGCTGGCACCCAGGCCGCGCGAGGGCTGGAGGTTCCTGAGGGGGGGCCTCTGCGTGGAGCCGGCTGGGCCCTCGGGGTGCAGAGGAGGCGCCTCCCGTGTCCGGCAGCTGCACTGGGGTGGAGGTTTCAAGTGGGGTCTAGTCAGGGCTGCGGTGTTTCGGCCTTGCCTGTGTCCTCACACGCCCTCGTGTCCCTGCCTCCCACGGCCCCTCTGTCCGGGTGCAGGACCAGAGCCACAGAGCTGACCTCCCTGCACCGGGCAGGCTCTGGGAGCATTTGCTGCCACCCGACTGGTCTCCCCAGACGTTCCGCCAGACGTCAGTGCTGAGCTCTGTCGGCCAGTGCCCGGCCCTGCAGGGACCCTGTCTGCGGCGTCTCATGGGAGCACGTTGCCTTCCTTGGCAGGGCTCAGCGTATGAGGGGAGACGTCAGCTCCGGCTGGGATGTCTCAGCCACCACACGTGGCACCGGGTGTTTACTCTGTGGCTCCTTGAACGTCCCCGTGGTATCCTTGGAGCCATCACGTGTGGACGCTGAATTATTCTTTCAGCAGAGTGGACCCTGGCAAGCGGTAGCCGGCCGCAGAGGCGTGGCTGCAGTCATCTGAAGAAGGACCACTGTTTTCTATCCAGAGCCCAAATGGTGCCTGGAGTGCCCGGTTCCGGGTGGCTGGAGTCAGCTTGACATGAGGCCCTGATACCCCGGTGACCTTAGGGTGACACGGGAGCCGCTCTGGGGCCTGGGATCTGTCTGAGGGAGCCTGGCCCAGGAGCTCCCTCTCGTGCGGAGCGGCGGCTGGGCTGACCTCGCCCGGGCCCATAGACGGCCCTCTGGGTGCTGGGGACAGCGAGAGGCGCCTATGTCCCCAGAGCTGCACTGGCTGAGTTTGGCTTTGCCGACCGTGGGTCACGCAGGCAGACACGTGGGCTTCACGAGCCCCGCGTGGTGAATCCGTCGTGTGTGTTGAACTCCCATGTTTCTCTCAAACTGCAGGAAGCCCTTCTCGCCTCAGCGTCGGGGAGCAGCCGGATGTGACCCACGACCCCTATGAGTTTCTCCAGTCTCCAGAGCCTGCGGCCTCGACAAAGAACTAGCCTTGTAGGTGGTTTCTAATTGTTGTTTTTCTTTTTTAAGTTTTAATTTGCGTGTGCAGAGGTTATTTTTTTAAACAAAGACCTTTATCTTGTCCCCTTTGGCCGGTGGGTACAGCCGGGAGGTGTGAACGTGTGTACTGTCGTGTCAGCAGCCGAGAGACACAGGCCAGACCGTGGAGCCGGTGTGGTCTGTTCTGAGCATGGAGGCGTGGGCCAGTGTGCACACGCCTGTCTCTGCCCCGCCGTCCTCCTGCGGTGGCCCCAGTCTCGCCGTTGGGCCTGCATGTTCCTGTCGGAAGCCCACGATTCGCAGGAGCCCGTGGGGAGCGCAGGGGCCGGGCAGGGGCGAGGGCGGCCTCCCGCCTTCTCTGCAGCGGAGGAGCCTGAGGCAGGAACGTGTTCTAGGGAAAGAGCAAACCGCCTGCCTGTCACGGGGAAACCCGCGGTGTCCGTAAGTCGCCAGTAACTGGACGTGCCGACTGGCTGCCTTTGTGTGTCTGTAAAGAGACTCAGCAGAGCTCCGCGCAGGGTTCAAGGGCATCCGACTGCCTGGCCCGGCGAGGGGCCCCTCACAGGGACTCCCCCACAAAACCTTCCTCCTGGTCACAGCCCGGTTCTCGCACCCACGGTGATGCCCGGCTCGCCTGTGCGTCTTGCAGAACCTCCTGCTGGGGCCCTGCCCCTGTGGGAACTCGAGTCACGAGAGCCAGGCGCCTGGCCCTCCAGAGGCCGCGCCCACGTGGGAGCTCCTGGGGAGGGGCCATGGCGGGAGAGGCCCCGTGGGCAGGTGCTGCGCCAGGGCCCACAGGCGTTGCCAGGGAGCCACACGGCTGCAGCCCCGGAGAGCGGGCGAGACGGGTCCTGTCGGGCAGGGCGTCAGCGCAGCTGTGGCCCGTTTGAGCCGAAAGGAGTTTGGGGCTGGGTGGGGTCGGGCGTGCAGGGCCGCAGCCGGAGACCAGCCCGATGTCGTGTGGCGAGCAGGCGCCTCTGCTCCCGCAGGACCCCAGAGGTCGGCCTCGCCGGGAGGAGGACAGCTGCTTCCTGCGGTCGGTCCTGGGGTGACCGCCAGGGGCGAGTGCAGCGCCCCCTTCCCGGAGCCTTCCCCTTAGTCCCTGGTACGTGGCCTGCATGCTCCGCTCACGCAGGGGCAGCGTGGGGTGGCGTGCGCTGTGCAGGAGCCACGGGGATCTCGGCATCAGGGTGGCATGTGGCTGAGAGCCCAGGTCTCCCTTGGGCGCGAGTCTCTGCCTGGGGCGCCGGGTTGCGCGGTCCTTGGCAGGACGCAGGGACGTTGCTGCTTCCTGGGCCCCAGCCCCGAGGGGCGGGTGCAGCTGCCCGCTGCTCAGGTGAGGACCTCGGGAACGCGGCGCCTCGCCCACCTTGCCGCTCAGAATGGAAGAAGAAAGACCCACCTGATCTAGGGCCTCTGTGTTTTAAAAACGATTTTGTTTTGGTAAAATTCACATAACAAGATTAACTGTTGACCATTTCAAAGTGTTCAACCCCCTGTCATTTGCCCCATTGCAGCCACCACTCTGTCAGGCTCCAGAACATTCTCACCACCCTAGAAAGGAACCCCCTGCCCGCTGGCGGTCCCCTGGCAGCCGCCCGTCCACTCTGTCTCCAGACTTCCCCGTCCTGCACATGTGTGTGTCTGGGGTCACGAAGCACGTGCCAGTTCGTGTCCGGCTGCTTTCTGCTCCGCGTGTTTTCAGGGTCCGTCCGCGTTGCAGCCTGCGTCAGCGTGGGCCGGGGCGTGACCTCTGCCTTCCACGGGCCTGCGGCTCGGCACTGAGGGGCTGGGGCTGGGGCCAACCTGGCCAGCCCCCTGCCTGAGGAAGCCAGGGGTCTCCCCGCCAAGACCTGCAGGGACCCCTGGTGGTCAGAACTGACCGGGCTGGCAGGGGTGCGGGGCCGTTCCTCAGGCCACACCGGTCGGGCATCAGTCACGGGCCAGCCTGGCTCGGGGTCCTCACGCCTCAGGGCCGACAGGCGCTCAGGGAGGGGCGGAGAAGCCCAGGCCGTCCCCCGCCGCTGTCTGGGTGCAGTGCCGGGTGATGCACACATCGTGGCTCTTCTCTGTTGGAGCTACACTCCAAACAAGACCAACGCGGTGCGTGTGCGCACCAGTCACGTGCCCCCACGCCTGGCCTCCACGTGGTGCCTGTGGGCCGGAACTGGGCAGATCTGGTGACATCAAGCAGAGCTGCCGGGAGGTTCCCAGAAGCGTCATCTGTGAGGACCGAAAGTGGCCGTGGCAGCACGTTACGTAGGCCGTGATGGAAACCGCACTGTGCCCACGAGAAGGGGCAGAGGCAGGTCGCAGCGTCAGTCTGACTGGGGCGTGTCCCGAGATTCCCGTGTCTGCATCTGTGCGTCAACCTGGGCTGGGGGTCATGGCTTTTGCGTGTTTGGCAATACATGTGGCGACTGGGCCCTGGTCCTGTGCACTTCTGAAGTTGTCTTCCTGGAGTGCACATGTCCCCAGGGCACGGCCTGAGTGGCCGAGGCTGCCCCGGTCAGCTGGGGAGGTCCCTGCCACCCCTCTGGACTAGGGGTACCCTGGTGGGCGGCCTCCTGGTCTCCTTCAGCTTCAGCGGCACACGGGAACTGCCCCCGCTCCTCCGCACCCTGTCTGTCGTGCTGGTCGGTGGCCTGGGGCGAGGGCCCCGCCCCGTCTGCAAGGCCACGCCGTAAAATCTGCTTCCAAGAACTGCCCTTCTCAAAGTGAAGCCCTTTCTGCAGGTGGATGGGCCTTAGAAGTCGCCACCCCTTTTTGGAGGGTGCTGGTGCCGTTCTCTAGTTAATCGTGACAGTTCTCGTGTCCCCCAAAACCCACAGCCTCTCTCGTGCCCTCGGTGGAGTGCTGGGGCCCGGGACGCTCGTGGGGCTGCATGTCTGCGTCGGGCCCGTTTGCTGGCGGCCAGGCGGTGGGTGCTGCGGTTGGTTTGCGCCCACCAAGCCTAGTTGAAACTTGATCCCAGGATGGCTTGTTGGGAGGTGGCCCTCCTTGGGGAAGTGTGTGCGCACAGGGTGGATCCCTCCTGAGTGGATGCGGGCCCTCTGCACGCCCCCCAGGAAGGATTAGCTCCCACAGAGTGGTGTCCTCGGTGCGCCCCCCTCTCCTTCGCTGCCTGCTCTCTGCACGTGGCTCCACTTCCGCTGTGCACCACGAGAGGAAACAGCCCGAGGCCACACTAGATGCCCAATCTCAAACTTTGCAGCCACCAGGACGAGCTAAATATCCCCCTTTTCCAAGTCACCAGCCTCAGGTGCTCTGTTACAACAGCCCAAAGCAGCTGGTCGGGAAGCAGAGCCTTCATGGGGAGGGCACAGGGGTGTGCCCTCCGGAACAGCCTGGGAGACCGTGCTCCACGAGGCCACAGCCCCTCTGACCTTTGGGGCCCAGGCCATGGATGCAGCACATGGACAGTGCTGGGGGCAGTCAGGGTAGCTGTCCCTTAGGGCTCCTGTCCCCTCTGACACCAATTCTGCATGGAGACCGGGCATAGCAATGCTTGGCAGTTACTTGCTTGGGGTCTTACGGGGCAGCTGCCCCACCCCCAGTGGTCTGGCCTTTGGGCCTGGGCCCCGCCCAGCAGGGGTTCCCCATGGGGCACTGGGCAGTCCCCAGCCCCTAGCCCCACACAGCCCAGGCCGCCACCCTGGGCACAGTCGCCACGCACTGGACTTTAGTGCTCAGTGGACGTGCCTTGAGAGAGGGTCTGCCGATGTTCCATGGGCCTAGAGGGAGATGGGAACGTTTGTAGGGCCAGGGGCCCCCAGAAGTCCAGCTGAGCCCCCACAGTTCGGGGCCACCCTCGCTGGCTGTGAGCCTGCAGGTTCAAAGGCCCTGGGGACAGCGCAGAGCTCTCCAGGATGGGGTGGCCAGCAGGTCTCTGACCTTGCTGACAGCTCAGGGCTCTCTAGAGCCACAGAGAGTCCAACAGCTGCTGCTGGGTAGGGATGGGGCCTCCCTCAGCTCAGCATCTCTGTGGTCCCTAGGCCCTGCCCTCGTGGTTGCAAGGTGGCTGCTGTTGCAGAAGCCCCCTCATGTGGTGGCCAGAGGAGGGGCCATACCTGCATCTCCCACGAGACAAGAGCTCTCTGAGGAGGCCCCAGCAGATGTGGCCTTGGCTCTGGCGCCCCTCCTGGCACAGCCTGGGGGCAGCTGCAGGCCAGCCCTCTGCACCCTGGCTGGTGTTCCGTGACGACCTGTGCTCCAGCCTGGCCCCGGCTGTCATGTGGGCAGGGCCTCAGGACAGGGCCCTGGTGGGAAGGGGGAGGCAGGCCTTGGGGCGTGAGGGCCCGCAGCTGTCCACCCCCACGCCAGGACCCCCGTCAGCTGGCGTGTGCGTGTGCTGTGGTTTGTGTGTCCTGCAAAGTTCAGGTGTGGCTACTTCGCAGCCAACATGCCAGCAGTAGCAGGTGGTGGCGGGAGGGCTGTGCCCTCGGGATGGGATTAAGGCTCATAAAGGAGGCGTCACACAGCATTCGCTCTGCCCTTCTGCTGTGTTCTTCAAGGATGCGGCAGCAGGCGCCATCTGGGAAGCAGAGCCCAGGCCTCGCCAGACACCAAACCTGCGGCCTTGATCTGGGACGTCCAGAACGTGAAGAAAGAAATTTCTGTTCTTTAAATTGCCCAGTCTCAGGTGTTTTGTCATAGCAGCACAAAGGAACTAAGACACGGCGTGTGCAGATGTGTGTGGGTGTGTGCAGGTGTATGTGGGTATGTGCAGGTGTGTGTGGGTGTGTGCAGGTGTGTGTGGGGTATATGCAGGTATATGTGGGTATGTGCAGGTCTATATGCAGTATATGCAGGTATATGGGGTATATGCAGGTGTATGTGGGTGTGTGCAGGTGTATGTGGGTGTGTTCAGGTGTATGTGGGGTGTGTACAGGTGTATGTGGGTATGTGTAGGTGTATGTGGGGTATATACAGGTGTATGCGTGTGTGCAGGTGTATGTGGGTATGTGCAGGTCTATGTGGGTGTGTGCAGGTGTATGTGGGTATGTGCAGGTGTATGTGGGGTGTGTGCAGGTGTATGTGGGTGTGTGCAGG